GGCCGCTCTGGGCCGCGCTGCTGGCACTGGGGGCGCTGGCGGGCGCCTGCGTTGGAGGTGAGCGAAGCTCTGCGCCCGCCGCGGGGACGAGCGCTCCTGGGGGCTGCGCCCCGCCTTCGCCGCAGCGGAGTGTGCACACTTGGAACCGGGAGATCCGGGTGGGCGAGCCCCGCGCGGCTCTATCTGAGTTCGCGGGCCTCGACCTGGGCCATCCGAGCCCGGAGCTGGGGACCTTCCGTGACCCGCCCGGAGAGGCGTGAGAGGCATTTGGTGCCAAGGCCGGGCCTCTGGGGCACCGAGGTCGATGGCCCGGTTGGGCACCTCGCTGGGGCGGTCCCGGCGCGCGCTTGGCTGTGGGAACAGCTCCGAGCCCCACGCTCAGCGCTCGCTGCGCGCATCCCAGTGGTCCTAGCTGTGCCGAGGCGACGTGGGCTTTCTGGGGCTGCTCGGCGCGTGGGAAGAGGGATATACTTGTAGCTTCTCCGGCGAGAGTGCACGCGCGGATTTGCCAGTTACTCGGCATTCCTCCTTCTCCCTGTGCTACTTGTTTCCAAGTTTTTCTAACTTGGTGGCTCCCCACAGGAGTGTTTCGGAGCAGGAAAAAGCGGTGCCCTTTCCAGTGTCCGCAATAGCAGCGGTGTCTCTGCTTCCATGACAAACTCCAGACCTGAGAAATCTTTAGTGTCTGCGGGGAGTCAGGCCAGGGGTTCCTGGGGCTGGCTTGGATCCCTGGCTGCGTCTTCCCTGCCGCTGCTCTGTCTTTCCGTCAGCTTCCAGGGCTGTCGACATCGGGTTGCCATGGTGCTGGAGAGGGCGGTGAGGGAGCACAGCGAACGAAGCACAGCGAACAAAGCACAGCGCTGGGGTGCTCCCGTGGTACATCCGGAACCCTGGTGATTTAACCAGGAGAGCTCTTGCTCGTGGACCTCTGGAGTCACGCCTTCCACAGAGGACACACGAGTGTGCATACATGCACTTTTATTGAAAACAGTAATACTCATTGTAAAGCAATTTAGATCATGTAGAAGGGATTTTTTTTAAAAGAATTGTGGATAAGTCCATAACTAAGTTGAAAATACTTTGGTGAATGCCTTCCAGACTCTTCTGTGTATGTAAAGACAATATAAGTAAGAAGATCATACTGAACAGGGCAACATTATCTTAATGGAAGGATTGATGTATAGGGAATGTATGTTTAGGTTGTCGTTACTGAAACTTGCTGGTGATAGAGGCTAACACAGGTCAACTGATGTCTTCAGCCTGCAGTGAGAAGCCTGATGATCGTCCCACAGACATAGGAATCCCCAGCATTCTGCCCAGGAGGTGTTAATGTTTTGGGTCAGATGATGCGGCTGTTGATGGAGGTGGATAAATCTATGAAGGCAACTTAGCCGTCTCCTACTGCTTCCATGAACTTGAAACATGTTTTCTTTATTATTATTTTTTTCACATCCACAGTATGCTAATTTCATTTCCAAGTATAATCATTATATTTTCATGTAATTTTGGAAGAAATGAGGTAGCATAAGGTAGAGCCTAGCATGGTCGCAGCCCAGTGTTGGTGAGGGTATGTTATTTTGATGTCTCTCCTCAAGCTCTCAGTCTATCTTGCATTGATGTGGTTCACACAGTTGTAATGGCTCGTAGAGGATTCCGCTACATGGACACACCTGAATTTGGGTGGCAGTTCCTTGCATGAGCGGTCCTTTAGGAGATGTGGTCACAGATTTATTGGTGTGATTAGGGTGATTTCCAGCAGTGGTGATGGGGTGTGCTAAGCTAGCCCAAGACTCCTTCTGAAAGGTGGGGTAGAGTAGTGTTCAAGAGCAGAGAGAGGCTGCTGCAGAGCCAGAGCTCCAGAGTGATCCGTCCCCAGTGAAAGCTGTTTCTTTTATACTTACGTTCCCCATCCCAGGGTTAGGAGCCCTAGTGGTGTGATGATTAAGAGCTCTATTCTTAAACAGAACGTTGGTAGTCCAAGGCTGGTGGTTCAAACTCACCAGCTGCTCTGTGGGAGAAAGACCTGTTCCCATGAAGATTACCGTCTAGAAAACCCTGTGGAGCAGTTCTGTTTGCCACATGGGATCACTGTGAATTGAAATCAACTCAACAGCACCTAACAACAACAATAACCGCCATGTTGTTAATAGGGTTGCAGGTCCCTAGAAGCATGTGGTTGGGGGAGAGTAGGAGAGTTGTGTAGGCACATATAGTATTGAAAGGACACAGAAAGGGTGGGGGGAGTGGCACAGAAAGGCTATCCCAGAGTAGGAGAGTCTGGTATGGGGAGAAGGGAGCTTGTTTGAGGATAGAATTAAGTTTTGGATTTTATGGGCAAAGGTGATCAATTTAACTTCCCCTAAGAGGTATTGGAGCTCTGGTAGCATAGTGCCTAAGGCATTTGACTGCTAACCAGAAGGCTGGCGGTTCAAACCCACCAGCCACTCCTCGGAAGGAAGGTTGGGCAATCCTACTTCCGTAGTGATACTGCCTCGGAAACTCAAGGAGGGGTTGCTATGAGTCGGGGCCGACTCGATGGCAAATAACAACAACAACAAGAGGTATTTATATATTTTATAAAATATATTTTATATATTTTATACCTTCCTCGTATTTATTGTATTATGCAAATCACGCATGTGGTATACAGCCCAATCTCTCACATTCATTTTCCTGTGTGCACTATGAGCATTATATGCATATGCATGTTATTCACGTGGGCACATTATTTTTGAAAAAGATGTTAGTTTTTATTCTAGCCCCAAAATTGCTGGATAACAAGTTTTGTTTGCTAACATCATCTAAGTTGGTTAGTGCTGATCTGAGGTGCTCCTTTTTCCTCCTTAGTTTATATCCTGGAAACTCTATAACCAAAGCTTTCTCTCTACAGGAACCCTCAGGAGCTGGAGAGAGTTGGGAGGAAGGTATGTTAGCTGAGAAGAGGGACAGCTATGGTTTAGAGCCAGTGGAATGTGGATTTGACTCTGATTTTGTCTTTTATTGACTGTGTGACCTTGGGCAATTTAGAGGATCTTTTGGGTTCTCAGTTTCCTCATTTGACAAGTATAAAAAAAATAATACTTCTATGCTTATGCTGAATAAATGAGATAGAGGCACAAACTGAGTGTTCAGTAAATGGCAACTGACTTAAGGCACTTGACTGCTAACCAGAAGGCTGACAGTTCAAACCCACCAGCCACTCCTCAGAAGGAAGCCTGGGCAATCTACTTCTGTAGTGATACCGCCTTAGAAACCCTAGAAAACCA